GCATCATCTGAAGAGCCCATTAGATGAGGATCTATGTGTAAAATAGGACAGAGAAGTCTTATTAACCCTATATATATATATGAAGTATTTAACATCTTTATCAGTTCTTAAACAAAAACATCCACTCAGACTGAGAACCATCATTAATGTCACCTTTCTTTTAAGTTATCACAGCTGTCACATCTAACTCCAGAAATAAGTTATTTTAAAAAAACCTCGCAAATACACTTGCACTTATGTCAACATTAAACACGAATATTAATCCTGTTCACATATTGTACGTATGGCAAACATGACAACAGGGTCAGGAACTTGCTAGCTAACGTGGCTATAGATACATGTGTTCTTCCTAAATGCAGTGAAATGGTTTAATATACAATTTATGTAATAAAAAACTGAATGTTTTCAACAACTAGAAGATAATCAGTTCAGTTTTGAAAAAGGATTACACCTAGGTCTAATCAATTAAATTTCCTGCAATTTAATTTATTGTAGCAGAAGGAGGGGCTGGCCAAGAGAACAAAAAAACCACCTCTGAAGCAGAGAGAACGCTTTCATTTAGCTAAGGTATGCTAAATAATTTAGATAATCGCCTGTATACTGATGATATTGAGTTATTTTTTGCATTTTGAGATTCTGTTTTTGGTCAATGTAAGGGGTCCATTGAATGACACCATCCAAATTGCTTTTAATTACCTGCTGAAAAACATTGTGCAACATTATCAGATCATGTTGTTTGCATATTTCACTTTTTGTGACACTACCGTATCACTCTTCAAGAAATTTTAACAGGGTTCACTGTGTCACCGATGCTAATTGGCTCATAGCTGTCTCTTCAAAAATTGTAATCTGAAATGTGTCCTTGCCCAGCCTGTTAGATTTAGGAGACGACCTTTCCTTTGGTAGGTTTTTCCATTTGACATGTTTGAGATTTTCAAACCCTATAACCTAATGCTGCTTTAAACATCTCCACAACTTGATCTCTGACTACTCTGCTGTGTTCATTGTTCCCACAGCTGGCCTCTTTACTCATTAGATACTGAAAATCTTATTTTGTTCACTTTGTACTTCATAATTATGCCCCATTTTTTTGTTGGTTTGTCAGATAAACTCCCAACTTTGACATAAGAAAATGCCCAAGAGCCACAGACTGTATCAGAATCAGTAATGGATATTCTTCAATAAATATTAAAAGTATATATTTGAGGTGTCAGGTCAAAATTGTCTTAAAAGCTCTTGCATCAGGGAAGCACAATCCAAAAGTAATTTTCTGATTTCGTGCCTCATTATACGCCAATCATAATATATTACGTTTTTGTTTGCTTTTATTGTAATCTGCAGTCGTATCTCGCTTTCAGTATCTCATTTTTATGTAGCACGTGTGTTCAAGGGCATAAAAGTTTGACAACTGTCATTAGGATAACAAAGCAGAATAATCTTTATGGTTTGCGCCGATGTGACGCTCGTCGAAGGAAGAACTTGTCTGTTTTCACGAAGCATCTCATTGTCCAAACTCGATTCCTCCCAATAACGACCAGGTTCCCATTATCGCGACCGGAACATCATATTCATCAAGCGAGCATCACTCAGGCAGTTCGTCGCAGAAGTGAGACGAACTGAGGACGGAGGGAAAAACAATAATGTTTCTGAGCTCTAAATTGTGTTTGCTGATGGCGCTACTGCTTGGCTGGCTGTTGATGGATATTACTTTCCATGCCGTTCCCCAGGCCACCGTGTGAAGCAGCGCCTTTTCAAATGAACAATTGTGTGATGCTCCTCTTAAACTAGTTCAGCGCAGCATCATTCATCATCTGCAGCACTGCCAGCGGGTAACACCGATGTCCCCGTGTTTGCCAGCCACAATAGGGTTACAAGAACTGTTGTCTCCGAACTCACAATGCAACGCTATGTACGCCGGGCCTGAGAGATAGCAAGTGTACCTCCACTTTCCGCCCCCCCGCCCCCGCTTTCAGGGGAAACAACTGCACCGCGGTATCGCTGCTATTTTAGAAACTCTTTCAGACGCTCTGCAGCCGTGCGTCTGTTTTGTTAGTACAAAAGGTTTCTCCGCGGAGATTTCGTCCTATAGGTGGGGAATAATGATGCAAGTAATTATGCATTATCCGTACAAAACTCGACACTAGAACTTCCTTGGTGAATCTTACATTCATTTCGAATCCTGCATGGGCATGTTTGTCCAGTTTTTTTCAGCTATATTTAATAAAACCTCAAAATTAAGGTGTTTCTATACACCATCTTCTCCTCAGTCCTAATGCGACAACTGCTGTTGAAGCAGTCCATGCTCAAACTCATATATTTCTTCACAATCCCCTCAAGTTTCCATTGATCCTTGTTACTGTTTTGCAACACTTTGTCCTTCCACTGAATTTTTTATTAACATGTCAGTTGTGGAGGTTGTTGGTGACTGTTGGACAACTATCGAGTCAACTTTTTTCCCTCAACATGGAGACAGCAAATACTTTTTTTAATGACATCTACTAATCTACTTTTATGAGTGAATATTGATTTTGAATTATTGCAATCAAATGAGCTGAAATGAACTTTTGAAATATGTATATGTGTAATTAATTTATTTGATGCATGAATGCCAGTTTTTGATTTATTGAAATCGATCGTTTTTCGTGAAATTCTTAATTTACAGCTCTTCTGTTGTGCAGCATGTTGAGACAACACTCATAAGCTTAAGACTGTAATGCAGAGGAGCCAGATGAAGTGGCTCAGGCATATTGCACATATAAGAAAGTTGCTTTTTCTTAAACGTTATTTGTTGCTCTGTATTTGTGTAACTTATATATATGTATTTTTTTAAATCTCATGCAGAGCCATTTTAATTTCACTTAGATCAGACTTTTTGTTGTCTTCTGACTCTAAATGCTTCATGCTTTCTTGCTCATTAGCAGTTATCTGCCACTATGTGAACTCACCAAACCTGCAGTACACACGGTGGCAGGCTCCTACCAATTATAAAGAAGAAATATCTCACTTGAGCATGTTATACATCAGTACCAATGTCTCAAAGCTTTTAGACACTAATGGTGCTCACTAATTAGTTTGCTTCTTATTTTCTGCAGTGAGCCACACAGGAATCAAACCTAAAGCAACATTTGATTGGCGATTATTTTGGAGTTCAGCATCCAGGTCTCTCTCCCTCTATTTTTTTTTTCTTTTTTACAATTCATTCAGACTGGAGGTGAAGTGGAGGTCGAGGTCAGTTTAAGTGGATCCACAGGTTTTCAGATTTGAAGCCACGCCTGAATCTATCCGAAAACCAAAGCCTTCGATCCAAATCAGAAAGAAAATGAAACGATGCTTCAGCACCCCCTGCTGGTGATTAATTATTTTATTCATCAATTTGTTTTTTTGCAGTCACCAATTTGCTTTCAGCTGCCTCTAAATGCCTCAAATACATATTTAATGCAGCACTTTTTATGTGTACGTCTGTCATGAAGGTTTTATTTAACTTGAGGATTAGAATGAATCTCATTGACCTGAGATTCATATCAATGAATATCATCTGTTCTTTCCGATTTTGTCGTTTCAAATTTTCTACGATATTATCAACAATAATCCAAGTAATAAATAATGATATGCAGTATTAAAACACTGGTTTCATTCATTAAGGGAAGCAAATTACCAAAACCAACCTGGTTATAAATGAAGAAGAAGTGAAACATAACTGCTTGTGTCATTTGCATTGCTTTGAACAACTTTTCTTTTTTTTTCCATAAATGAAAAATTAAATTCACTTTCCAAAAATTGGGGTAATTACTTTTAATTCATCATTTAAGCAGGGGATTGACTGCTGTTTCTCATAGCATTCAATCCCCTTCCCCTCCCCTAAAAAATAAAATCATGATTTGAAAACTGCTTTTTTTTGTCTTTGTCTTGTTTTTTAATATTATTTGATAAAGTGTGTAAGTTCATTAAAAAGAAACAGAAACAACTGGGAGCAGACATGCTGGTTTTCACAGCAACGTGGATGTAATTTGTCATTCGCCAACATTAAAATGCTTTTCTCAGTGGTTGGTTTGTTCACAGTTTTCAGCCTGCAGTTGCATTTAATTTTGTATAAGCTCTATATGAGGTGGTGAGCCTCAAACGGCCTTGGATTGCTTTCCAATGATCTGTTGGAGAACAGGAATCATAGACTCAAGCTCATCTCAAGCCAGTCATCTGATTTCTATAGTTTATGAAAATGTCAAAATAAATATAAATAATTATTTAAAAAAAAATATATATATATATATATATATATATATATATATAAACTATGACTTAAAAGAAATTTTACTTCTCAATTTAATGCCTTGAAATTGGGCGTCTGTCTCTTTAAGAAGCTCTTGCTGTCATCGCCGAGTTCCTCTATTAAGTGTTTAACGTCTTTACCACTTTTCACTAGTTGCCTTTCCATTGACCCCATGACTGTTTTTGCGTTTGGATGAGATGGTTTTTCAGCTGCATCAAAATGAGTGCATTTCTCAAAACAGAAATGGAAGCATGTTTCTGTGCATAACAAAAGTCATGTGACCAACAACCTGCTGTTAATACTGACGAAGAAGATGACAGCGCAGCTTGTAGTTTTAATAACTAATTTAATACCAAATTTATTTCCGTGTGAATTTAATTCAGTTTCTTATTTAACAAGAACACCTTGAATCGGCAAATTGTTTTTTTTTTTTTTACATTAGCGGAACACTGACAAAGTTTTGCGCATATTTGCAATTTAAATGCAGCTACTAAGAAGATGCACAGTTCCACTAGGTGTTTGCTAATTGCTGCTGGCTAGTCTGAAGGAGCTGATTGGGGCCCCCGAAGAGGAGGGCTGCCATGTTATGCAGAAGCTCAGAAGCTTGGAAACTGCAGCTCTGGAGGCGGAGTTTTGTCAAAATGGCCGTTTCTGCACCCAGAATGATTGCCACAGGACATGAAAGGATTTCTCAAACATACATGAAAGAATCAAAGCAACACCCCAGGTAAGGTTTTGATGTGGGAATAATATAATAACATGATGTAAAGCTTAAAAAAAAAAAAAGTAGATTTTACATAACACCGCCCCTTTTAACTTCACAATCCTAGACAGTTGTTAAGGCCCCAAAAAAAGAAATAACAAGAAGCTGAAAATATGTAGAAACATGCCCTAAAGCATTGCTGGTTGTCTGCACTGCGTCTCAATTACTCAGTGCGATGGCTCCGGAGGGCTCAGGACGGAGCGGGGATTGCTGTGCAGGAAGCATTTGATAGCAGTGTTGTTCAGCACATCTTTTCATTAGGCTCCTTTTAATGATTGTGCCATAAATGACTCGACAGGAGCAACGTCTTTGCCGTCCACGCCTCACACCGTGTGTAGACCGAAGACGTTCTGCGTCAGCTCACAGGTAATCAGAAACTCGTGGATAGATCACAAACTGCCTGTAAAAAAAATGCTTTTTTATTTAAATGCTACATACGCTCTAGATATACTTTCATTTTTTATTTTTTATTTTTACAAATAGACATAACAACCCTAAATAAAACTCATCCGATTTTCCTTAGAAGTCACTGCTCAGTTTAATTCAATTCGATGCAGTAAGACTTCATTATTCCCAAAGGGAAATCAGACGTCGTAGGAGCTTTTATTATCTATCCTGAGTTCACACGAACGACCTAATTACTAAATAAAGTCCATCTGTGTGTAATTTAATCATAGTATAAATACAGCTGATCTGTGAAGGCTCAAGAGAATAGTGGTCTGAGATTTATGGCTGAAAAAAAAACGACAAAAAAACAGAAGAACAAAAAGAAAAAAAGATACCGAGGGATAAATGGAGAGCAGAAATGGTAAATGCAGCCAGTGTCACACTGGAGCAGCTGCAGAGACCCTCAGCTCAGGTGAGAAAATCTGTTGGTAGGATGACTACACATTAAATGTGCGCTCCAAAAATCTGGTCTTTAAAAAAAAAAAGTTGCAAGAAGCAGAAAACTATCTTTAAAGGAACTTTAAAGTTTGCCTGAAGCCTGTAGGGGGACAAAGCAGATGTGTGGAGAAGTGATGCTCTGCTTCAAATCGGAACTTTATGCGTTTTCTGTAAACAACACTGCAAATCTCTGTGAGCACACCATCCCCGCTTTGAAACATGGCGACAGGGAAGACGGACAGAGCCAAGCGAGGGCGAAGCTGGAAGTAAATCTGATAGAGGCTGAGAAAGAGAGTAAGGCGGAAGGGGGTTCATCCTCCAGCAGGACAGCAACCCTACACACACTGCCAGAGACACAATCCAGTGGTTTAGATCACAGTATATTTGTGTTTCAGAATGGCTTAGTCAAACTCCAAACCAACTGAGAATATGAGGCAAGACTAGAGGCACGGTGACGCTCTCAGACAAGGTTTAAGTATGTTTAAGACAAATGGGCCAATATTTCTGCCTCCAGATGAGCAAGGAGGCCCAAAAGAAATGCAAGTTTAATTGCTTCTAAAATGATTTAATTTTTCCGCTTCGTTGCATTGGTCCGTCACATAAGACCATATCTAAAACCATTTTAGATTTTGGTTGCAACATCACACAACTGGAAAAGTTCAAGAAGTGCTTGAACTTTTGCAAGGAAGTGTTTCCACCTGTCCATTGTTAATCTTTCGAGGGTTGCAGGAATCAAGAAATCAGTGCGTACAGGCAGGGTGCTCCGTTGGCAGCTCACCAGTCCATCACAGGTCAGCACAGAATCTTAAGACGGACAGCCCCAACACATACAGCTAAGGATATTATTAGCAGTTATCACAACATACATGTCTACGGTCTGTGAAAACAAGCCGGAGTACCTGGAGAAAACCCACGCCTGCACAGAAAAAACATGCAAACTCTACTTTTAACTAAAAAAACCCAAAAAAAAACACAAACTTCTTGCTGCAAAGCAACCATGCTCATAACTATGCCACCATGGAGCTGCTGTACAAACATATAAATCAAATGTATCCTTTTTTTCCAGCATTGTGCGCTGTGAAATCCCAGAACACCAGCAGCCTTGTGTTTGCGGCAGTTCAGCGCAAGCTACGCACACAGGATTACACGGCTCCTGCGCCCCAAAGCTCATTTATATCTTTTCAGTATCATTTGCTAATTTGCACAAGTATAATACCGTTGAACCGAGTTATTTCTCCTTGCATTCATCTAAAAATATGCACACTCTCGAGGAATCAGGTGTTGCACGGTCCCTTCGGAGGAATTCTGAGCCAAGCGCGGTAGCTTGCTAGCGGCCATATCCTTATTACAGTTATCATTGTCTATACCATTTTTTGCAACATCAGGTCCTCGTGAGTAAAAGGCTACTCATAAAGCAACTAGAAGTGAATGTATTTTTGAAGATTTTCCAGAATATTAAGGTGTAAAATTCCAACTGCTGAAGGGGTACACCAATCCCAAATAAAAAAAAAACTTAAATTGAAGCAGCACTGAACAGGTGGGCTGCAGGCTGAAAGTGTTTGTGAGAGTATCTACACTACAGTGGGAGTTGGGGTGACCTCCGTGACCTGCCAGCAAGAAGCAAAAGTGTAGCAGGCCAGTAATGTGGGAAAAACACACGGAGCCACAATCGATCCTCAAGTAGTCACGAGCATTTTGAATTAATTACTGAATTCAACGAGCGGCGAGATTTCACAAATGCTTTTTTTTAAACAAGCAGAACTTTTCTTGTGACTTTGAGGTGCTGCTTGCTCTTAGATCACGTATGAATGCTGACGGCTGTCCAACCACCTGTCCAGGGTCAGAAAAAAAAGAGCACCTGCTTCAAGGAAGGACAGCAGTTCGGCCAACTGAGATGAGTCAAGAATATTTTCTAGGGTTACAAAGAAAAACGCTGTATTGTCATCCTGTACCCATACTATTAACGTGGGATTTCATTACAGAGAAAGTGCCTGTTTAACCAACTTTGATATTCTTTAAAGAAAGGTTTTTCTGAATAAAATTAATGTAAAAGTATTCAGATTTAATATACCACAAGATTATTAGTTTATTTCTGTTTTCCTGACTGAGAGATCCAAACGGTTTTTGGCATAACCTCACAGTGACACATGGAGAGGGTCAAAGATCTGGTGAGGGAAAGACTTTAAGTACTAATAAACAACTTCATTTGCAAAATGTTTCAACTTGTAGTTTTCCTCAAGGTCATTCAGGTTTTTTCTTTTTTTTTTTTTTTAACTAAAGAAGTGTGACTTTGCTGAACATTAGAGACTGAAGGTTTAATATCACTGCTGTCTACTACAGGCATACTGTCTTCATCTAATCACTACTTTACAAAAAAATAAACTTTATTAAAAAAAAGTCAAACTATCCCTTTAAAGGCTTTACATAGTTTTCACTCAACTTGTTTGTAATGTAATTGTATATAAAATTTACACGTATTAGAACTCATTTAGTGGTTACACAACACTTTGCAAGGTTATGTCCAAGCAAAGATGTCATCAATAAAAGCCTAACTATTTGTTTAAAGCAAGCTTTGGAAGGTAGCACTGCTTGTAACTTCTCCTACTGATTCACCAAATGATTGAGACAAAAAAAAAAAAAAAACACCCAGGATTTTCTTGTAAAACTGCAAACTCATGCTATTTCAGGTGTCGTTTGTCCACATACTTGTTAGCAAGAGAAGCATTTAGAGAATCTCCGCATGTGGCAAAGCCATCTAGAGCCGGTGAGCGATGGTGAGTCCAGAGTCCATCTTTAATTCAGATGACTCATGCTTCTCTGGTGAAGAGGGGCACAGAAAGAGACATCATGTACAAGATTGATGATGAAGAGGGAGGTGCGCACAGCCAGAGTAAGACAGCTGAGGCGTCCAATAAAACAGCAGGAGACTTGAAGTTCATATGTCATGCCATATCTATCGATTAGGCTGAGCGATTCTCTGCTTTTATTCATAAATCACTGCAGGAGTTGTCCTTTCTCTTGTTTTTGCTGAGCAGACCTGTAGCTGACGAAAATGAAGGTGAGATGAGTATTTTAGGATTGTTTGTGGGAAGAACATTACATGACATTCCTGAAAGCGAGAATGAACTTTGGGCTCTGGTTAGCTCACCCTGGTGCATCGTAGCACAGACCTGGAGAAGACAAAAAAAATTACAGCTCAACAGGCCCTAAGTGAATTCTAACTTCACAGCTGACCTAATGTAAATGTATTTGGATTGTGGGAGGAAGAAAAGTCGCATATGAACAGGAAGACAATACAAACATAGTTCAGAAAAGCATACAGACCAACAAAAAGTCCATCAAAAACGTTTACTTGTGCACTTTTAAACCGTGTTTAAAGCAGAAAAGTAATTTTATGACATACTTCTTTGACACAAGAAGAGCCTTTGGAGCCCTGCCTAAAGCACAAATGCACTTTGATTTACGGATGGGTATGTGTCTGGAGCTGTGTACTGCAACTGTCTTTTGTTGAGAAAAACAAACAAACAGATTATTTACTTGACAAAAAAAAGACCTGTCTGATGGGAATTTGTCAAATGAGTGTGTTTTGTTCTCACAAGATGTGAAGTTGAATGCATCACTTTCTTGCTAGACAGACAGCAAACAGTTAATGGTTTTAATAACTTTGCATTATTCCATAGAAATCTTGTAAAATTGAAATAAACAGATAAAATACTTTAGTGTATTGTCTTACAAGTGTGCTCTTGATGCTGTGTGTAGAATAGCATAAGCATTCACAAAAACCGCACAGTTGTACTGCACGTGTGAACGTTAGCATAATGTTAACTGCTAATGCTAACCAACATGTAAACCTACTATGAAAAGCTACTATCTTTGTCTGGCAGCTTGCTAATGCCGATTCCCATGCAATACAATAGCATGTATAAGTCCGTGTAAACCATCCCTATTTGCGAAACAATGTTTTATGAGGCACATTACAACCAGACTCATACTTAAATCAAGAAATAAACATGATGTTGGAACTTACAGACTGACGTGAACCGTCAGTCTGGGTCTGTAACACTGTCATGTCCTCTGTCCGTGTCCATGACAGAGGACACGGAAACGGTCCTCTGTCATGTCCACTGTGCTGGAACTTTCTATTGTCATAGACACCACCAGGGGGTGCTAAACATCCCAAATCAGAAACCTACATTTAAAGCATTATAGTTCGTACCAACACACTGTGTGGCCCTCTAGTGGCTACACAGAAAATAACAGAATGAGAATGACCCAGAAGGTCTCTATACTAATAAAAAGGAACAAAAAAAAAATACAAAACTGATACAGAAAACAGTAGAACACCTGCTCAAGAACCCCAGGAGAGTTTAGCCCAGAGGCTTCCTGTGATCAAGATAACATGTAGGAGTATTACAGCAGCAGTCATTTTAAAATGGCATGAATATTTATATACAGAGATTTGACATGAAGTGATGAAGAGAACTGTAATCCTGTAGTCACGATTTGCTGATAACCTCAGGAAAATGACCCGCCTCCCCCGGCGACCAACGCATGCTGATGGACCAGGCCAGCTCAGGTTGGTACGCTGTGAGTCATTTGCCGTAATTTTGGGAGATGAGATGACCGTTTTGTAGGTGTTGAGTCATGAAATCCATTTTCTGTGGCGGCTTTATGTTTTGTCTGACTTCATTATGATTTTAATCGATCGCTGACAGTCACTGACATGTGCTTCGGTAAACAACCTGCAAATCTAATAAGAAGGGACTGAGGATGATTATTATCCTAAGCAGTTTATTAGTTTAATAATAAAAAAGGGACTAAATAAAGCAGCTGTAAACAATCTACAGCAAGGCATGGAAGGATGAAGTGACCTGGAGCTGCTCGACCTCGAGCTTCGTCTCATAACGAGACGAAAGTTTGTCTTTTCTGTTACCACTTATTTGTACTTTTATATTTTAGAAATAAAATACCTTTTTCAGACTTTCTCTGGTGCTCTCTTGTCCTTGACCACTTAGTTAATCATCGCATAAACAAACAGAAGATTCACAGAAGGGGAAATGACAAAAGAAATAAATGGTCTTCTTTAAAAGGCACAAGAAATCTGATCGAACAAACTGAAAAAAAAACAAACAGTGCAGCAGAAGTAACAGTGAAAATATTATTATTCAGTTCCAGATAAATGCAGCTAACACTGGGATTCCCTTTATTTATCAGGCAGGCTCCATATGCTTCCCGGAGGAATGAAGGAAATATACGGAGTCGACAATAGTCAAGGGTGTAAGCTAATGATACGCTACATTCAACAGCTTCCCTGTGTAGATGTAAAGACTTAAACACGCCTCACAGCATGAGCATGTCACATCGTTAATCTGGTAAACTGTTTTAACTATCATGCAAGAACCAGATGATCTCTTCCACTACACCAAAAACTTCAAGGTTTGGCTTTGTCCATTTAATATTTACCAAAAGTTTTTCCTTAAATACCTTATTCCAATATGAACCACCCAGAAATGCCTTTGGAGTTGTACAATTGTTCAATCTAACTTAAGGTATTTTGAGGCTTTCTAATACATTTTCTGCATTTTTCCACTGAAGTCACTACAACAGAATGTTAGGGTCATTGTTGCGGCTTTCTGGTTTCCAAAAAACGATATTTCAACAAAGGCCGTGGGTATTAACAGGTGGTTTTTGATTTGAACGCACTTCCGACTTAATGTGTTTGAAAAAATATATTCTTTATTTATTGTAAAAAAAAAAAATTAGCGACAAAATAATTACAAAAAATGTCCTACAACTTAGCCAAAAAACCAAAGTAAACTTAATGTGACGTTTCAAGTACAAAAACGTGAAAAGTGTAAAGTCCAAAGTGGTCAAAAAATCATTTACAAAAAACCTCCCGTACACACACCAAACATTTGCCAAACAATGCCTCCACCAAGCACCTGGTGTGTTCAAATTAATGGGAGGGTCTAACCAATTACCAATATAATCTAATCAATTCAAATATACAAATTAACTACAGATTTTGGATCTAAACTAACTTAAATAAATTATAACTTCCCAAAATAGAAAACTAAATTAGTAGAAATTACAATTTGCAAACTTTACATAAATGGCCACAACATACTAGATAAAGTCATAAATAAAGTCACACGAGAATAAAGTTGCAATATTATGTATTTCATTTTTCTATGACTTTATTCTCATAATATGACTTTATCCTCATATTTTTTATTATTATTATTATTATTATTATTATTATTATTATTATTATTATTATTATTATTATTATTATTTTCTCAGCATGACCCAAATACTGGGAAAGTAATCACTAAAAAAAATGCAACATTACTGAACCAAGATGTCGTCTTCTACCTTGAGTTAGAAACTCCCTGCAATTTGTTTACAAGATCAAACACCAATTGTCACCTTTATCTAAACAAAGTGGAAGCAAAGCTTCTCCTCTACTGGTCTGGACTCCTGCTGTTTTATGGCTTTTCACAGATCAGTGTGAAAACTGGAACTTCTCCTGATTGTTTCCCACACAGACAAAGGGCAGTTCAAAAGACCTTAGCAAACAATCTGCTGCAACTACAGGTAACATAAAGGTCAATAGGGCAGAATAAGTTATTAATCTGAAAACTATAATTAGGCTATTTAAATCAAGACATGTTAAGTTTTAAAACTAGCATATTTTAAATTTATTTTCTTAACAAAACCTAGATGAGTAATAAGTTGGATCTCATTCATAAAAGCTTAATTTATGGGTGTGAATATTATGAGAACGAGTGGTACCAGAAGGTCCAACCACAATAACTTGTTGGACCTGTATCCTGAAGCAAGTTTATTGAAACATGCCCATAACTTTACATCCCTTTTATTCTTTTCTCCACACAAACATCATCATAATTAGATCCTGCAGGACTGCGTCTGACATTTTGAAATATATGGGAAGCATTTCTGGGGAGTAATTATATACAGCTTGTCCACATGTGAGGAAATCTGTGGGGAATAAACACCCTGCGACTCATATTCTTTACTGAACTGTTGAAGTGGCTCTGATGTACTGCAATAAACTCTCTGACATTTTAAATTGCGCAAATGTCAAGATGATACTTAAGCTGACTGTTTGTGTGATTGTGTGTCTGTCTGTTGCGCGTTAGGTGTGTACCGTGTGGAGAAATTTCGTATTCCTCGCTGTCGTCGAGAGGCTGTCTCCGCTCGCTGAGCGGCAGCGCAGCGTTTGCGTTTTATTCGCTCTTTTTGCAGAGCTGAGCCGCCACTCATTTCGCCTTCGACATCCACACGTTGGGATCAGATCTGACGGACAATGGCTGTTGGCCCACATTTGGCTCCTGCCGTCAAAACGCAACTTTTCCTGCCAAACCCATTTACTCCAGCCGCCAGCGCTCTCCACTGTTGCCTTGGTAACAAAAACTTGTGGTGGCTTTTGTTTAGTGAAAGTGAAGTAATTGATGCATTATATGCTAATCAAAAACAACAGTGTAGGTAGGATGATGTGAATGTTCACCCAGTTGGCATACCAAGCAGATGCAGATGCGTGTGTTTGGGAGTGTGTGCGTGTGTGTGTTTGCCAGGCAGACCTTTGATGATAGATGTTAGACGCAGCTCTGCTGATGGATACGTCTTCTTCCTGCTCAGCAGACCAGCAAAGACACACTCGATGGAATATTAAAATTATTATATCCAGAAAATGAAAAACGTGAGAGCTTCGAAAGAATGAAAGAATATCACAATGAACAAGCAAGGTCTGGTGAGAAAGGTCTAATTTTGTCAGGCTTCTTTTGTCACGAGCTGTTCCTTATGGAGGCAACTGAAAAATGTTCATTTTGATCCTTCATCTAAAAATGGTCTTGGAAAATGCAGTGTGAATGGTGTAAGCTGAATTTTTGTGTGAGAATTGCAGAAAGATTTGAAGTCAACTGCAGAAGACATGCAAAATGTAAGAAACAGGCAGAAGCAGCAAAAGTCAACAAAACTAGTCTATTGAACTGTTGAACATGAGTGAAAAGTTTCAGTCAAAGACTATCAGAAGCACTGCTTTCAATGCTAAATTGTAAGGCCACAGCAGCTTATAAGGTAAAATGAGCTAAGAAGTTAAGAAGTCGACCTACAGTGAATACCCCATGCAGTGTGAAAAACCCAAGTAAAGTAAAAGCCAAAATTAGCTAAAGAGGTAATGCTAGCTAAAATACCAATGCTAGCAAATAGACTAGCACTAGCATGTTGACCTGCAGGATCATACTTCCTGCAGTGTGGAAAAAAAAACAGATGTAAAAGCTAAAACTGAGCTAAGAAACTAAAACTGACATACTTATCTAGCATATAGGCTATCACTGGCATGTTGACTTGCAGTAAAATACCCACATAAGGTGTGAAAAACAACGTAAAAGCTAAAATTAGCTAAAAAGGTACCCCTAGCTAAAATACCAATGCCAGCATCTAGGCTAGCACCACCATGTTGACATACAGGAACATGCTACATGCAGTGTGAAAAAAGTGGATGTACAAACTAAAACTAGCTAAAATGCTAAAGCTAACTAAAATATGGTGGTATTGATAGCCTCAGTGTATGTTTCAGGTTCCCTCCAGCTGGTTGCTCTCAAAATCCGCTCATTTTACCGAATCTTTTACAGTTCCCTCCACAGGTAATGGCACACGTTTGAAAAGCTTGACGAGATATTCATCATTTATCTTAATAAAATTATCCATCCTTTAATTTGATTTTATTAGTCCGGTGAGAAAAAATGTGGTTGAGAAATGTATAGCAAAATTACCATTTCCACATTTACTGGCATCTCAGACCACGTCTACAGAAGAAATGATTTCTGGAAACTTTTACGTTAACCAGCTTTAAATAATGTAATTTGAATGCTTTTTCTAATGGTTATTAATCTCGCATTGATAAGTAGGTTATTTTGCATGTTAATATTAACCGATTCATAGCAGACTTGATTTTTATAACTGATTCAGTCGTTGTTTTTTATCAAATTCTTAGATATTTTCAGTTTCATGTTGATT